GTGTCTTATCTGTAAAGTGGGCATAACACCATATATCCTACAGATATTGTATTAAATATAACAAGTAAAACCATATGGCAAGTAGTGAATTCTCAATTCACGTTCATTATATTCACCTTCTCATTTTTTTTCTCACTTAAAAATAAAGTTAGTACCAATAGACTGCCCTGCCCTCATGAGATAATTGGGCCAATATTCCAAGTTAAGAGGAAGTTCCTCATTTTTCCCAGGCAGACTTTATTCTTGGAAGATGTGGGTATGTAGATACGTGTATTTATTTCACTCCGGTGTCATGATAAAAATAGATACTCTCCTTCAAAAGGAAGCTAGACCGAGTGAAGCATGTTTATAAAGATTTATGTATGGAGCTAAATTAATTCTTGAAAACTGAGGTATTTGTACTCAGCATTTCACTTCATTCTGAGAACAAGTACAAACGAACATGTCGAAAGTATGACAGTTATTGGGCTTTTAATTTGGTTTCTTACATATTCTAATTATACTCTTTTAATCAGTAACCACTCTGGTTCTTTAGCTTCCCCAAAGTAGGACTGAACTCAGTTCCTAATGCAAAAGAGTTTGTAATTTTTATGTGCTATGACACGCTATTAGGTAAAAAGAATGGCAATTGTTTTTTCACTGAAGAATTTGGAATGGTAAAGGAGAACTTAAGCTAATCACTGGGCAAGTATCTAATTTATAGAGCCTCTTGAAAAAGACAATGCATCATCACTACCCACATCATCTGATTAACGAAAAGATGACACTAGGACTATTTAACTGTGGGAACTTATCCAAGAGCTTGACCAGGCAAGGGTAAAGAGGAACAAAGATGACACATTTCAAGAGGTTTTTAAAATATCGTTGGGAAGATCTTAGGAACACGTTTGAGAGCTTGTTCAGTTGTCACAATAACACTAGACATCAGGCATTCAGCTCGCTGGTGGATCCAGAACTGGCTGCACCTTGGGCTTCATGCAAATCGTTTCACGAAAACACGAATGATGGCTCACTCACCTAGCATCACCAGAAATCTCTTAGTGTGGTCCCTTACCACCAGCCTCCTTTGCCCCTGAGTTTGATTTTACTATTTCCTCATGATACTGGTTCATGGGGATAAAGACATTCTATGTCAGACTGGACAGTTACTTACAGAAAACAAAAAGGGGAACAATGCATCTTGAGTAATTAGACACACCTTGTCTCTGTGGTCCCATTTGATATGCTCTGCTTGTCTTTTTTTATATACTAGAGCAATCAAGACATTTTTGCTCTTGGAGATATGTACTGAAGTATTTAAAGTGTCTTGGTGTCTGCAATTTGCCTTCAGTGGTTGAGTGAAGAAAAGTCATGTACACAGAGAGACAGAGACTCAATGAAGAATGAAGAAGCAAATATGGCGGTGCCTAGACATTCGGTGAATCCGGGTACAAGGTAGATAGGAGTTCATTGTACCGGTCCTTACATTTGAAAATTTTCAATGTAAAAATTGGGGGGAACCCCTAAATTGAAAAAAATATATATGTGATAAACTTTTTAAGATTTAGACTTTTTAAGATTTAAATCTTTTAAGATTTAACAATAGCTGAAGGGCAATAGAATTTGTCTGTAAATCCATTAAAGGCCTATAAATAAAATGAAGGTGACTTCTCCAAAAACAAACCTTATTTCCTTTTTATTATGTTAACTTCTGTTATTAACACATCTTCTGTTATTAACAAGTTAATTTTATTATGTTAACTTCTGTTATTAACTTCTTCTGTTATTAACACTTTGCATTTTTGTGGTTATAATTAATGAACCAATATTAACACATTTTTATTAACTAAAACCCATAGTTTACCTTAAAGTTCCCGTTTGTGTTGTATATGCTATGGATTTTGACAAATATATAATGTCATGTATTCACCATTGTAGTATCATATAGAATAGTTTCCCTGCCCTAAAAATCCTCTGTGCTCTGCCTATCTATTGCTCCTCCCCCCAACCCCTGGCAACCACTGATCTTTTTAGTCTTCATAGCTTTGCCTTTTCCAGACTCTCATAGTTGGAATCTACAGAATGAAGCCTTTTCAGATTGGCTTCTTTCACTTAGCAATACACATTTATGATTCCTCCATGTTTTTTCATGGCCTGATAGCTCATTCTTTTTATCACTGAATAATATCCTATCGTCTGGATGACAACAGTTTGCTTATACATTCACCTACTGAAGGATTGGCTGCTTCCAGTGTTTGGTGATTATAAATACACATTTGTGTGCAAGTTTTTGTGTGGCCATAAGTTTTCAACTCATTTGGGTAAATACGAAGGAGTACGATTGCTAGATTGTACGGTAAGGCTATGCTTGGCTTTGTGAAAAACTGCCACATTATCTTCCAAAATGGCTATACCATTTTGCATTCCCATCAACAGTGAATGAACATTCCCATTGCCCCACATCCTTACCAGAATTTGATATTATTAGTTTTTGGAATTTTAGCTATTCTAGAAGATGTGCTATTTCATTGTTGTTTTAGTTTGCAATTCTCTGACATATGCTATAGAGGATATCCTTATTTGCCATCTGTATATCGCCATCTCTACCTTGGTGAGATGTTTGTTCAGATCTTTGGCTCAATTTTAAACTGGGTTGTTGGTTTTCTTATTAAGATTTGAATGACTTTTTTTTTTAAAGTGTGTCATCTCATGAATAGAGTGAGTGTCCAATCACATATTCATTTATGCCACAACTATGGCAGAAACTGCATTCCCCTTCTCCTTTACTAACAAAAACCTGACATTGTTGCAGATAAGGTCCCTGGCCTTAAATACTTAGTATTTCAGACTGGCATTGAGTGGGGGTCAGGGGCAGGTGGTGGGGAAACGGTCAGTGTGACATAGTGCAGCCAGTAAGTGCTGGTTGGGGCTTCCCAGAAAAATAGTTAAAAAGGAAGACCCAGTTGGCATGCACTTCTTTGATCTTTTGCCCTTTACCCATATCCCTGCCATTTTCCAGAATGTGATACAGGACCCAGAATGGGAACAATCATCTTGTGAGGAGACAAAGTCACCTGACAAGGACAGCAGAACTGATGGATAGAAGGAATCTGAGGTACGATGACACCATGGAGGTGTTGCAGAAGCCCAGGATTGTCTCTAGACTTCTTGCTGTGTGATGAGAAGCACCCTCTATTTGGTAAGAATTTAGTCAAGTTTCTGTTACAGGCAACCAATTCACTCCCTGATATGGCAACGTTTTTTAAGCACCGTTAAGTGTGAGACGCTATCTCCCTAACAAGACTATTCTGAGCAATTTTTATTTAAAGGACTGGTTCACAGAAGTACTACATTTGAAAAAAATTTCTGTATATTATAGACACAATGCTAGGATGGAGTTATATTTACATGTTCAGCACTGCATTAGACATTATGGGGAGAGGAAGCAAGAGTATAAAATTAGAGATAAGACCAACCTATGTGAAACAATCCTGAACGCTTCAGGACAGTAAGATTAAAGGTTAATAGTGGATGTAAACTGAGTGTAGCAGCAGTCACGTAAGGTGGGCTCACTGAAGAGGGAAGGAGCAAGGGAAATGTGATTAGTAACTCTGAAAACACACTTTTTGTATCTTACAGCTTCCTATTTTTGAGTTTTTAAGTCAACGACCTAAATACAGACATGGAAGCTATTGCCGGGGTAAGTGAAGACAAAAATGAAGGAAAGTCATTTTAATTTGTATACCAATTCAGCTTTGAATTCAGAAGAAATTTATCACTCTAGTATCAATATTTCAAACACAGAACACTGTAAGAATTCACTACAGTTCTATTTACGTTATTAATTGTCAGTATATTTCATGTTGACATGAAATGGAAACTAAGTACATGTTACCTTAAAATAGGGCTTTTGAAATCGTTCCTTTGGAAGTAAGGTGGGTTAACAGATTAACATGAAGAGGGGCTTGGGATTTTTCTTTGGCACCTCTGGTATTGCAAACATTGCTAATATTGTTAGCAACTGCTATTCATTTTTCCTAGCTGGTAGTTGCTGTAACTAGCTGTAACAGATGTGAACCATTATCACATGTCTGTACAGTCAAGAGCAAGACAACCTGAATTAGTTTTTTCTGGACTCTTCATTGGGATTTGAACTTTTTTCTTAAGTTCTTCAATTTAGTGATTTTACTTGTAAATCAAAAAGAATAAAGGCATGCAAACCAAAATATAGATAACATTTCTATCTAATGTTTTTAACCTTTCCTTCAGGACCTAGGAGAACATACTTGGCTTTTCTTTCTTTTCTTCTCTTCCTTTCCTTTCCTCTTCCATTCTTAAGTTTACGCCTGAGTCATCAAGTACCACCTGGCTGCGTTTCATTGCTACGGGGTTTAGTTTCAATGTTATGTCATGTTTAATAGGCATTGTGAATTTTCTCACATGTGGGGTGGAGGGAGACTGGAGACAGGATGATTAAAAAGGGAAGACTCTGCAGAAGGATATGAGAATAGGCAGAAACGCTAACGGATTTGAGAAGGGCATAAAACCAACAGATGACGATGGCTATAATCCTCTCAAGGTTGCCCGAACCCTTAACCCTGCAGGACCTCTGACTACCTACAGGTAGATGGACGTTTTTGCAGGAGCCCTCAAAACCCAGGGAACGGGTGGAAACTCAAAGGGACTGCAATGGGTACATCGTCAGCAAAGGTGATGGAAAGGCCCCTTAAAATAAACTCGGCCCAAAGTATCCCTGCCTCCTCCGGATGCACTAGGGCCAAAGCCTCAGCGGGAATGGGAGGCGGACGACGGATCGTGAGAGCCACCTCCTCCGCAATCCCCCGCCCTTCGGCGCCGACGCTCCGCTCTCCTTCCGTTTTCCCATTGGCTGAGGCGCTCGCCAATCCTGGTGAAGCGGCTTGGTGAGAGGCCTCTGGTTGGTGGAGCCGGCGCTGAGTCCCCCTCTTGCTCGGGCCGGGCCCCCAGCCGAGAGGGGGCGTGGCCGCGGCCGTGGCCGGGCCGGAGGCGGCGTCGCTGGCGCCGCTGCGTGCGGTGTGCTGCGGGGCGGGGGCGCCGGGCGGCCGCGGCGCGGCGGGACCATGGAGCTCGGAGCGCAGCCCCGGGGCCGGCGGCGGAATCGCGGACCGGTGAGTGCGGGTTGCGGCCGGCCGGACTCCTCGGTCCTGGCCCCTTCGCTGCTTGGTTCTGGGCCGAGCGGCTGCCCCGGGGGAGGGGCGGGCGCGGGCCGGGCCCCCGCAGCCCCGTGGCTGAGTGAAGTTGCTGCATCGCGCCGGGCGCTCTCGGGCGGGCAGCGGGGCCCACTGCGGGCCGCGGCGCCGCCCCGCGCCTTGCCCTGCAGCCCAGCCGCATCCTCCGCGCTGGCTCCTGCGCCGGCTGGGGCTTCCCGTCGTCGCAGCGCGGCCCGGCGGCTGCTCTTGCCCGCGCCGTCTCCCCCAGTCCTCGGCCCCGGCGCTGCCCGGTGCGCGCTCCCCGGGCTGCGGGGCAGGCGCCCGCCATCCCGGCCGCAGGTGGCGCCCGGGCCTCCACTCGCGCCCCACGCAGAGTGCCCAGGGCTACCCCGCGTCCGGGACTTTAACATCCCTCGGTACCGCGCGCCCTGCCCGCATGTGGCCCAGTCCCCGCATGCCCATCGCCCTGGGTCGGGCCCGCTCCATGGCTTCGCCCTCCCCGAGCCTCTGCGCCGGGTGCCCCCTCCCCGGGGCTGCGGGCCCGCGGGGCTACCGGCCTCCGCAGCCAGGCTCGGCTCCCCGAGCGCAGGGCAGGGGGTCGTACAGCCGGGGACGGGCGCGCTGCAGGGCGAGGGGAGAGGGCTGCGCGCCCGGGAGCCGCTTCGCCGGCCTGGATCATCTCCGGGAGACTTTCCCTGCGCGGCAGGCGGGGGCCGCGGCGCCTGGCCTCTCGCCCTCCGCGCGGGAGCTCCAGCGAGTGGAAGACCTTCCCCTCTCCGTCTGTGGTACTTAGAGGCAATGGCGATTTCTTCTTGGTTTAGCCTCTCTGCAAGGGATAGTTTCGTGGCGGAGAGTAGAGTTCTTAATTATTAAGAAGCTAACCGATGGGCTTACGGATGAATGGGAGCATCTCATTTTCTTAGCTGCTGTTATGCGTATTAGGAATTCTTTCTCATGTGGGGATCAGTTTTAAATTCGCACTTAGTACCAGTAATAATTTTGGAGTTTTTAAAACACCGAGAATTAAAAGGTTTTTTTTTTTTTTTGGTTTTTTTTTTTTTGCTTTGTGATTGTCCAAATCAAATGCATGCTAGGGCATGAAATTTTAAGATTCAGGGCCCACATTTTATGAGGGGAGGGGCTAAGTATTTGAAATATTTTTTCATTTTATAAAAATTAGGTTTGTCTTAACTTAAAATGTCTCTGTCAAAACTAAGTTTAGAGTGTTATAATTGACTTATTTTTCTGTTGCCTCTAGGGCACATTCTGCTGAACCTTGGTTGCTTCTTTTTTGTATATGCTTTACTCAACTTTCCTTTTCTTGCAGTGAAACAATGCAGTGATTCTTGAAAGCTAGTTCTTTTATCTACGTGAGAGGTTAAACAAAGGAAAGCGAGGTTTGACCTTTCCCATAGGCAGTTTTTATTGTGTCTGGTCTCCTTTCTAATAGGGTCCCCATAGTGCTCATTTTTCTTCATTTTTGAAGATCTTAATTTGTATTCTCTAAAGTCGTGTCCTTTTGGATGTTTAAAACTCACTAGGTTTGGGAAGTTTGACTTTATATATTTACAATCTGACCTGTATTCACTGTTGTCTTCTAGCAGGGAAAAGAAGCTTGTTCTGGAACTATCCACATATAAAAATTATTCTTGCTACTTCCGGTTGTTGACACGGAGTTTCTTTATAGCATTGTTTTATCTGTTTCCTTAAAATTTATGACTTTATAGTCAATGTTGTGCTACAGTCTTTTTAAAAATTCTGAAAATAAAGGTGGAATGCACTTGGATAAGTGGTCATGCCAACGCTGTAGACTCCTGTCTATTCTAGCCGGTCTTTGTAGGTCTCCTTTACACTTCCCGTAGTAACCTGCATGTGGAAGTCACCTTTTGGTTTTTGGAATGTTCCACTAAAACAGTTGCTTAATATAAGTATTAAAAGAATTGTCTGCCCTGGCCGGCCAGTACAAGTTGTCTTCTTTTAGAGTTCCCAGAACTTTCTTTGAAGAATAATCACAGGTTATATTTTCCACTTATATACTGTTGTCATTCCTTATATTTTCTTGGGACTGCCTCCACACTGCTGTACAGATGTAGATGCTCACCTTCTCAGTCCTTTTTTTCTTAGAAGCCGGTTTTCCTCTTTAAGGTCAAGTTTTCTCGGGACTTGCTCTAGGGTGCGTGGAGCCAAACGCTGCTTGCAAGTGCATGCGTTCTTCAGGACTGGTTCTTTACACAGGATACATTTTATGCTGGCAATATAGGAATAGTGTATGGCAGTCATACTTAAATAAGGCATATTATAAAATCAATGGAGTATCACTGTGGAGATACATGGAGTAACAAATCTCAGTTCTCTTTACCTCCTCTTATTGGTGCCCTGTCCTGTTTCTTTCTCCAGAGGTAGCCACCCCTAATCCGGTGGGGTGGGGGCATCCAGAATTTTTTCAGTCGGCTTTTTTCTTTAGAAGCCGTTTTGTGGATGCTTGCTAAGTACCTGTACTATTTTGATACAGGCATAGCAGAAATAAGAGAGAAAAGCTCTCAAGATGTTGGTAGTCTGCCGAGACACACAATTTCAGCACGGTGCAATCAGTGCTGTGATGGCGTTAGTAAGCAGAGAAGGATGTGAAGCATCACATGAATGACCTAGTCAGTTCATTCGCTTGCTTTATTGCAGAGTTGATCCTATGTGCTGGGGATACTAAGATAAGCAAGGCGGATACCTCTTGCAGAGCCTGTTCAGCTGGGTTCTCTTGGACAGTTTTAACCATCGGTTATAGTGCAACATATGGTACGTGCCCTGAAAGGGGTCAGCTAGAGGAGCTCACAGGATGACCTCAAACCCAAGCTTCGGGATGATTCAGAGAGATCAGAAAGGCTTTCCAGAGCAATAAGAGAGAAGGAAATTGGTCCGAGTCAGGGCTGAGGAGAGGCTTGATAAAGGCTGTCGGAGAGAGGGTGCATTGGGGCAACTGGAAATGTTTGTGGCTCGGCCAATTGCAGAAGGGCAGGGAAGTGGCAAGAAACAGAGACACAGGTGACTAGGGGCCAAGCCATAGGGGGAGGGGGTCTTGTGATTCTTATTGTAAGGAGTTTGGACTCCTCTGTAGGCAAAAGGAAACAGTTGCAGAATTCTGAAGCAAAAGGGCATGATCCGATTTGCCCTTTACAGAATGGATGGAGGGGAGCAAGCGTGGAAGGCAAGAAGGTCAAGGAGGTGGAATTGCTGGGACTTGGTTCTTGGCTGGGGCTTGTGTGTGCGGTGGGGGAGTTGGGAGAGGGAGGAGTTCAGGGTGGTGCTGAGTCCTAGCTAGCCAGTTGGGTGGGTAATGATGCCTTTCTTATGGAGCAACAGCCATTTGGAGGAAAAAAAGACAGGTGCATTTGGCCTTGTTAAGTTTCAGGTGGCTATGGGACACAGTGTTTTAGGGATCTGGGTGTTGGGGGTGTCTGGACTGGAGACAGACATCTAAGAGTCCTTAGCACCACAGTTCCTAAACTGTGTGCTGATGTAGTGCAGTGAACTCACAGGGAGACGGCAGGATATTGAATTGTAGAAGGAAGCTCAAGGGTGCATAACATTTGTCCAACCCTGTGGGAAATGATAGCTTAAAGTCGTCAACAGCTTCTACTGTCTGTTGCGCTACCTTCCTTTTGATGATAAGTTTGTAAGGCTGGGTGTTCAGTGGTTGCATTTCCTGTGAAAATCAGTGTGGAACAGGAAATGAACGAGGTGATGTCCAGTCCAGCTCCAAGGTTTGAGAAATTGTACCTGTGGTTTATTTAATAATGATAGAAAGAGACTGATTTTTTTCTCAGTTGAAGTGTGCTTTTAAAAAATGGGTAATAAGTTGTTAGAGTAAAAAATACTTAAGATATTTGAACTTATCCAGTGTTTCAATTACTCAGGCATTACTTTTGGCCTGAGACACTAAGAGTGCAATGAACAGAGAAAGTCTCTTCTAGAGAAAAGCTCCAGAACTTTCTGGAATCTCTGCCTTTGCCTGTATTTGTTAATGGAGGCTGTTGGAGTGGATGAAGTTATTCAAGAAGTATGTACAGAGTGAGAAAAGGAGTGGTGTAGAATGTGATCTGAGGAGCTTTTGTGTTCGAAAGATAAGCAGTAGAGAATAGGCTCCTACATTGAGACTGAGGAGGGCAGTTGTGTGGTGGGGGAGGGGTCCATGAAGAGTGTCTTAGAAGCCATGGTCCAAGGGAACATCACTAAAGAGGGATGCTAAACCAGGAAGTTACTAGTAATATAGGTGGTGTCAGCGGTGACACGGTGATGGGGACATGGGCGGGATGGCCAGGGGTTTAATAGTGGGAGCCAGGAAGTGGTGCCAGAGTGCGCGCTAGCCAGAGATCCAGATAGAGTGTTGTTCCAAAGTTTCCAGTGGATTTAGCCCTAGGATCAAATTACTGGTTTTCACAGGAGGAGTCTCAGGGGAGCCTTACTTCTGTGGACTAAGGAGTGAATGGCACTCAGGCAGGGAAGCTAATCAGGGTGTGCAATGCTTTCTAAAACTTGGTTATGAGGAGGAAAGAAGGGCATTCACTAGAGAGGGACATCTGGTACAGGGTGAAATTTTTTTTTTTTTTTAACAACGACTTTATTTTATTAACTTCTTTTTTAAAAAGGATGCTTTTTTTCTTCTTTAAGACATGCTTTTCTTGGGACTCATGGGTCCTTGTCAGGGTGGGGTGCTCTGGGCAAGGCCGTGCCTCTTGCCAGCTCCTGGCATCCCCTGAAGGTTGTATTGTCTGTGACTGTGCTGTCCTGTTTTCCTTTCTGAGTGGACGCTTTCTGCTGTCAGTGTTCAAGGTCAGTTTTGTTTTGCGTAAGAGCCTATCCTCCCATCTTAGCAGATATCCTACCATTTTAGCAGATGTCCTTAGATTAGAATAATTTTTCCATACTCAGATTTCGCCCTTAATCTTTGGAGCCACCCTGTTTTG